CGCTTCGCGATGGATATTCTGTGGAAATCTCCCTCTCATATCTTACACACTACATAGCTACTTTGAACATTATCAACTAATAATTCGGGATGCCCAGCCGGTGAGCCTTCATCATATTCATATTTTTTCTCAATTTAACGGTTTACCGTTATTGGGAATGTTCTACTAGATCTGGCAGTAGAGAACGGGCTTCGTCCCTCAAGAGCAAGAAAACCGCGAGTATCAGAACTATCCCAATACAAGTCTCCACCAGCGGAGGAGCTGAGAACGCCGCGCGAGGAGGAGAAGGAGATTGCGGCTCCGTATTTCCCGGAGAAGTGGTGCGCGTTCATTTATTATTTCCGTTGCACCCATTTTTAACTCCGTATGGAAGGCGCGTTTATGGCAAGAAGGCGATCCCTACAGATTTTCTCCCAAACGACGCGGAGATCCCTGGGAGGAAAGCATGAAACGCGTGGACCTGTATGACGATGAGATGTGTCGAGGGTGGAAGGAGGACGTCGACACTCTCTTGGTTTTTGTGAGCGGTCTCAATTCCAACGCGTGTAATTGTTCATTTGCTAATGCAAAAGTAGGCAGGATTGTTTTCTGCTGCTGTAACCGCTTTCATAATTGAAAGCTATAAGTGGTTACAGCCTAACAACTTAGACTTCAACTTACAGCTGCTCCAACATATCGCGGTTCAGTTGAATACACAAATCCCTACGAGTTCCCAACAAGATTTCAGCGCTGCCTCAGCTGTCCGTATCAATGCGGTCTGGTTTTTGAGCCTGATATTCAGTCTATCTACAGTATTACTCGGAATCCTTTGCAAGCAATGGCTTCGGGAGCACAGACGCGACACTCCAGTCTCTTCTTCGAAGGAAGCACTGGAGCTTCGACAACTCCGTTTCGAGAGTCTTGAAAAATGGGGAATTCCTGCTCTTTTAGCTTCTCTCCCCTTATTCCTACAGTTGGCATTGGTCCTTTTCTTCTATGGCTTACTCGACCTTCTGTGGTCGCTCAATGTCGTCGTTGCCGCTATCTGCACTGTTGCCGCTGCCATCAGCGTTTCAATTCCTTTTTTGACCACCATTCTTCCTACTTATTATCTCTTTAAATTCTCATCTTCCATCGACGAAGATGAAGCTCATATATGTCCATACAAGTCTCCCCAAGCTTGGCTCTTCTATAAACTAATGACGTTCCTTTCACTCGGTGGGCACGATCCCTTCCAAAGCTGGGCCTCGAGTGATTTGTTTTTACTCCGCAACCATTCCCCTTTGAGACGGGTACAGCACAGCATTTTCCTCTTACGAGGACTTCGTTGGATGGTCAAGACGTTTTGCGATAGCAGTGTTATGGCAAATCATATGTTTCACTGTTTCCAGAACCTTCCTGTAGATGTAGCGGCCTTTGCCACAGGCTGGATAGGAGCATATTCACGGGATTCGATCTACTACCATTTCTTCAAAAATTCAGCTTGGGATTTGGATCTCGGAAAATTTCTTGCAGAGCTCTTCCTCCGACAGATCAACTCTCCTGCTCACAAAGATCGTACGGTTGGAGATGCTCTCAAATCATTCTGGCATTTGGCAGTTCTCGATTTTGTTGGAGATGGTATGCACTCATCGCGCCTTTGATCAGGGATAATGCGTCTTACTCGCAACCTGCAGGACAAGCGCCGCAGCTCCATCTAGAATTTTTACAACAGATAATCGCAACCGTTAGATGTTACTGCGCCGACGACCGTATCACTCTCTTCGACATGAACCCGCTCATGATCGTATGTAGAGATCTTTGGCGACATCCGGATCCCGCTATCCGACAACAAAGCATCTGTATTGTTGATGACTTCGAAGCATGGATCTCTCGCACAAGTGAGGAACTTCAGCGAGAGTTCATTCCCAGCTTCGCATCGTCCATCACGGATATTATCTATTTGGAAGATGAACGTGCGCCGACTTCAGCCCTTGTTCTTTCTGAGAAAGGACGGGCTTTTATAAAACTCTTGGATAAACATTTAGCTGTTCAGAATATTGATCTGGATAAATATTCTCTTCAGGAAGTGCCCATGTCATGGCAGGAGGCTAAAGCAAAAGTGCTCAGACTCTCGGGATCGCCGCCAGATTTTTTCGAGGAAGTTAGTTTTGACTCAAATACACCAGCAACGAATAATCCCAGGGGTTCTTTAGTTGCTAGCGATTCACTTACAGTAGGATAATTAGACCTAGGTTTTTATCGCAATACATCATCCTCAAAGCGTCTTCATTTTAAGCGCCTGGAAATTGGGAGCGGCGACTTTACGGAGATTCTAATTGTTGCTTGTCACCCATCACCAACGAGAATTGCTCTCAACATGGTCACCGTTCTTTACCACTGCTCATCCATGAAGTGACCGCAAACAAGTTTTTGCTATTCTTTTGTAAAGTTCATTACAAGCTCTTTGTAATAGAAGGCAACTAATCAGATTCTCAAATCTTAGTAGCTGATTCCATCCTGGTGCCCTATATACGTCTGCGACTCCGCCATGCTTTCCGTAAACATCATGCTCGTCTTGCTGGTGGTATACTGGATGGGCCTATACTTGGACAACCCCGCTTCAGTGCCGGAATCATCACCAAAAGACTGTTTAACCCATAATACGTTGAACGACCTTATCAACTGCCTTGACGCGTTTTCTGTGTCCCCAGATTTCTACGATGCCTCTTCCTACGCTGCTGCTCAGCCCACGGATGAAGAAAACTCAGCATGGACGTCTGTGATATATTCCATGTTGAATGCGAATGCAAATGATTGCGCTGATATCACCTTGCCCGCGGTTTTGGAGCACATCTACGCTGTCACAACCTTTTCCGATGCTAATGTCAACAGGACATTCTGCGTCCTTTCTGAGACTACCGCAAGCGCGTACAGTAACTACACGAAAGGATGGGGGCTGATGGTCGTACCCGCTTCAGATAAAGACATCTCCCGCCACATTCACCTTTCAGCGCCTCATCCTCAAGCCGATATCAATACGCCACAACAAGCCGGAGCGATTTTCACGCTCTCCGGTGCACATAGTTTACTCATCTCTGGTCGGTTTCGATCAGCGTACGCGGTGCAAACGGATTGTATAATTCCTGCTGGAGCTAAGAAAGTTTTTTATAAAACAGATCCTGCTCATGATGTGGTATGTTTTGAAGCAATGAAAATCGTCTGATATTCATCTTACCAGGCTATGTTCGTAGCGCGAACCTTTCAGTGTTGCTAATCTGGTAATCCGAGAATGGCAAAATGCGCATGGTGGATGTCCTTCAGAGACTTGTGCATACGTGCAATTTCACGGAAAAGCTGCCTCGTCTTGTGCAGCGGATACAATGTTCATTTCGAGTGGTCTCGGTAAGTCTCGATTCATTAATACTCAGGTCCAACTCAAGCTCTTTTGACTGATCATTTACATTCCCCATGGCCAGGAAATTCCGATTCATCTCTGTCATGGTATGAAGATCATTCACTAAATATTCCTGCTCGCCGACTTCGCGACATAGCAAGAACAATGTTTCCTAATTGGAACGCCTCACTCCCTTCCGACGATCCAACCTGTGTTTTGACCGCTACGAGCAACGTTTTTGGTCGATTGATTAACGGCGTTCCGGGCGGCAGTGTCTGCACAACCGATGCTGATTCTTTGATAGCTACAGGTGAATTCATTCATATCGAACAAGCGATCGCGTCTAGGCAGAGTGACGTTTATGATCAGTGGGGTGAAATTTTAAGACGCGCTTTTCGGACCAGTTGTGCGGGAGGAACGGTGGAGGATAGCAAGATAGGTCTTTGTGCTCTGGCCTGAGAAGCTCCAAGAATTGCAAGAAATACCACAAAGGATGTGTTTAAAATAGTCCAAGACGATTCAACGGTCCTAATAGTACATTGGTCATTCCCTAATCATTCTTCCATTCGCCCTTTCAAAGGTGTGATCCTAAATGTCTCCCAGAACTCTCTCGAATCCAACGCACGCCCAAGAGTCTCGTTGCTTCTAGGAAGTGCCCTTACACCGGTTTCGCGCATGAGTTCACGAACCCAAGCTGCCTGTGGTCCACAATCCTCGGCATCTGGTCCGAGATTTGAATTGGCAGCATCTCCTGGACCAGAGCCCCAGGCAGATGCGAGATCCCACCAGTCGTAGACGCGTCCATCTGTCAGAAGCCAGCGCTGACCAACTGCTTTGGAAAAATCTTTGTGAATTGCGATTATCGCTCGAGCGACGTCGATACCGTGAATCATGTGTATACTTCCCTGTTGATGGATCTTGAGTTTCCTAACCGGATCCGAAAGTGAATAAACGTACTTTGTTTCTGAGAATCTCTTTTGTAGGCGCCACTTTTCCAACCCATCTCTTCATCGTCCTGTTCCCTCCATAAAGACCAGCAAGATCCAACACAGTCGTTGGTGTTTCGAGAGACAAGGCCAACAACTCATCTTCGGCATCCGAACGTTCATTAGAGTTATACGAGCTGTGTCTGTCGTACCATTTGTTTTCCGCTGGTGTAATCACTTTGGGATTTGGCCCATCTTTGTGTCTGCGAAGTCCCTGCTCCTGCATATCCCATGTGATTATTGTAGGCACGTCCCAAATGATAGCTAGATGTGCTTACACCCCAAATGCTCGTGGCACCGAGCTGGATAAAAGCTGGATTTAAGTCGTCTGCACGAGTACTCTTATACAGCCGAATAAGTTTTTGAGAACCCCCACGTGCGGTTATTGGGAATGTTATTAGGACAGTTTTCGCGTCCGGAAGGACCTTGAAGGGTTCCGAATCGTCAGAGTTCTGGTCAAAGTGGAATTTGATCGTGGAGTTGTGCCCCGAGCGTGTTGTAGCTGCGAAAGAAAGACGGTGCTGTTGACAAAGCGGAAATAAAAAGGTTGAAGTCCATCCAGCTCCTAGGATCAAAAGTTCTACTGGCATTTTGACAACGAAGAAAGGGGGAAAGCATGCGAAAGAAGAAAAATACGCACACTCTATAAATGGGCAAAATTCCAATGCGGGGAATCGAACCCCGGGCTGCTGTGGAACAAGGAAAGAACGATATGAAAGACAGCAATGTTAGCCACTACACCACATTGGATTGATAATATCAATATTTATGATAAACAATTATCTATTCCATAACTCCTTTACCTTCTTGAATGTAATCGTACCGGGCTATTCAATACTCATAAAATCCCTTACCGCTCTTCTTCCCTAACCATCCAGCGTCAACCATCCGCCCCAGCAAGACACTCGGGCGATACTTTGAGTCGTGTGTACCTTCATAAAGTGTTTCTTGAATAGCTAAACACGTATCGAGGCCAATGCTGAATGAGTGAAGAACGCAAAATGAGCAGAACAAAGTAAAGAAGACAAAGCGCTCACAAGTCAGCTGTAATTCATCGTGATGAGAGAGAGCATGAGCATCCGTTAGTACCCATTCATCACTCAGTCGTACAAATATGTCACCTAGTTGTAATGGTCCCATGGGATGGCCCATACCTAGACGGAGGGTTTTGTCAATGTCGTCTCGTGTTGCGGTCCCCTGGGATGCGATCAAAAGTATGAGCGGAGCGCATCGGAGGCAAGGCATGAGGCAGCTGTAATTGTCAAAAAAAATGGACGTACCGATTCTAAGCACATAATGGCCTATTCAACTAGTCAAAAACAAAACAAAAATTGATAAGGGGAAGATGTTCTCACCTCATTGAGGAATGGCATGAGTAACGCGTTCGAGACGAATCCGGGAACATCCTTCGATGTGGATACCTCTACAACTCAATTTCAGCTTCGAAGAGCTTCGAAATAGAGCAATGCAAGATCACCCTTGCCACAGGCAACCGCGAACGCCTTTGCCCGTTCAAGTGTTGTTTCTGAAGTCTGCAGCCCGGGTATTACTTCGCATAATTTCTACGTTTGCGTCAGATCCATCAACATTCTCTAGAGTATACAGGATCATAACGACTCACCATCACCGGTACTGGATTAAAGAAGTGTACACCAACCACACGTCCCGCGCAGCTCTTTCCTTCTTCGCTTGCCTTGTTGATACTGCTACCCAAACCCTCCACCGCGGCTCCAGCTAACTTCGTGATAGAAATACTGCTCGTATTACTCGCTAACACCGCGTCCTTGGACAAATTTTTCGCCAAAGCACGGAATATCCCTTCCTTTATTGACAGCCTCTCCGAAGCAGCTTCAACCACCATATCCGACCCACGCTCGCCCAGCTCCCGCGCCCAGCCGAATTCATCAATGTTGAGAGTTGAGGACGAAGCTGACGATGAGGTGATAGATATAATTTTTTCTCTAGCAGCCTTCGCGTCCTCCTCACTGGTTTTACCTTTCGACACGTCTTTGGCAAGGAGTTTGTCCATGAACTCGAGACCCTTAGTGATTTGCGATGGATCCCGGTCGTAAAGGAGGACTGTGGGGATCTTGGCGCGCAAGGAAGCGACGAGGGCAATGCCAATTCCCATTTGGCCTGCACCGATGACCGACAATACGCGAGGAAGAGCCATAGCAGGGAGTGTTCCTGGGTAGTCTGGAGAGAAAGACGGAACTAGAAATTTCGGAATTCACGTGAAATCAATCAGGCTAATTCCGGCCCGATGTCAAAGCATCCCTTATCATTTCCCAAAAAAGCAATTCCAGTTCAGCTCAAGATCCACACATAGTATATACAGAATCGAAATAATCGGTAGCAAAGAGTGTCTAGATCCAGATTCTACAGGTGATATGTAGTACATGTACAACGTCATAAAGTTCAAAGGCATAAGTCTAGAAGTACTTCTTACCACTCAGGACACAGTGGTCTTGAGCTTCTTATTTGCATGGGCACCTATCAGAGAGTGTATTATGTCAGTATATAGCGGCAGGGAAAATGAAAGCAGAAAAGTAGAAGGACCAGTGGTAGGAAAAGAAAAGAGACCCAAAAGGCGGAAAAGAACTAAGCTTACATTCATGCTTCCTCCTCCAAGCTTTTGCCCATTCATTACCCGCGTCAGCTTGACGGTCCATGACGGTATAAAAGATCGTTCCCTGTAAGAGAATCCGAGTCTATAAGAAATCTAATATACGACCTAGATGAATGGGAGAACCTACATCATACAATCCTACGACATCCTCCTTCTTGACATTCCCTCCACTACAAGCCGCCTTGAGTGTGTCAATCACCCATTCCTTCGCATCCTTGGTAGCATCATCAGCCTTGGTTCCAGCTTTTCCATTTAGTCCGAACAACCCGAAAATCTCATCGAGCACTAGTTTGCTGTTGAACCGGAAAGAAGGATATCCGAAAAGGAGCCAAGTAGCAAACCACTCAAAGATAGCGGCGAACATGCTGTGGAGTTAGCGAGTCAGCACAAAACGCTATAGGATGATTGGACCTCGCACCCATAAAAATCATACTGAGGCGACGAGTGAATAATTCACATTAGCACTCTTAGATAGGCAGAAATTGAGAGTAGATCCCACTTACAGCCAGTCTCCTTTCGGCAACGGCGTGATATAATTGGATGGGAGTGATTTCCTCGTGAGGAGCGTCCGTGTGGGAGCTGCGCAGATGTCGCAGCGTGAATGACATTTATGAGATGGACACAAAGTTTACCTCCAGAACTTATCAAACCTCTTCTCGTCGAACCTGCCGTCCCTCTTGAAACTTCCACTATCGCTCCCGTGTTTGGCCTTGTGCAACCCATCTACGTAAATTCGAAAGAACGGATCTGGAAGCCAGTGACCAGCGGGCAAGGAAGAATAGGACATGGTGCAAATGACCATACTAGAAAATAGCGAGATTACGAGTGAGTATCCGAGTGCGCGGAAGCCTCTAAAGGTGTCGATGCTATAAGATTTTCAGTGGACGACCGATGAAAAAGAGTAAACTAAATTACGGCGAGAAGACTCCATCTCCATCGGCGTCAAAAAACTCGCCATGCCCAATCATTGCTTCATTGTCGTCGACTTTGAACTCTTTGTCATCTCGCCCGGCATCCTCTGGACTGTCGTTATCATTCTTCTTGATTTGATGAATATAATTATCCGCATCATGGTAGGGTTTGATAAGCGGATATGCTTGCACGTCGTCAATATCTTCGTGGCCGTCGCTGGCGAGGTACGAATAATCACCATTGACGTCGTCATAAGAGTCGTGGGTGCCGGTAGGCGCATCCCCGTGTATGGGTGACATTGAGAAATCCGAATACTAGATCTGTGATGGTTGTTTAGGTCGAAGATAATATTAGCGAGAGGAGCTAGGAAATATTTATACTGGACTGAGACTTGGTAAAGTAAACGTAGGGAAGTCCGATCGTGACTGAATCGCGTGTTTCGGCCGTGGACGCGTTTGGCATAGATTGCGTGGAGCGCTGCGGTGGCAAATGGATTCTTGTGCGTATATGTAACAAATAGAGGCGCACCACCAGCGCACTCATGGTCTCAAGCATTGAGCTGTGGCGCACCGACCATGTGGGGTGATAAAGCTTGATTAGGCGCCTATGTCTTGATTTGGCGCCGAATTCTCAGTAAATAGCGAATGAGCTAAATAAGCATCCCTTTGACCAACGACGACTAGTAAGTGAATCAGGATGAAGTATCAGCAAGATTATATGACAAAGATTCCGGTAGCTAGATGATGCAGTATATGTGTGTAAATAAAATCATCCGTCTTTCTACATGAGATCCTTGTAGATTAACGTTCAGTGTCCTTGGTATCCATTTGGGAGCCTTGTGCTAGTGAATAATTAGAACTAAGAAGTATCTCTGAGTGATAGAGGGTAGCGGATACGTGAGTGAGTATTAGAATCAGAGATAGAACAACGCAAAATCAAACGCCGTTACTTGGAAAAGTTGGCATGAGGCCGTATAGTGCTACTCCGACTAGGTGCAGTAGAAGCCGGTGTCACCATCAACTCAGGACCCTCGAATTCCCCGTGACCGTGCATTCCATGTGGCTCATCTGAGTATAACGACGGTAACTGCACCGGCGCCGAGTGCGGGCTACGATGACTCGGAGGAGGACTATTCAGCAAAGGTGACTGTGTTGGCGATCGAGCTTGATAGAATGATAATCCATTTTTCAAACTCTCAAGTTGTTTGACAACATCTGAAAATGTTGGCCTTTCCTTGAGTTCATCGTCCCAGCACCGGTCAAGCATGTCCCGTATTCCCAAACGATCTACGATTTTTGATGGGAATGGTGGTCGAGCGTTTTGTTCTACAGAAACAGGGTCAGCAGAGGAACATATAAGTTCCGACATCACGAAAATGGGATGTCGAAAGACTACGCACCCAAGACACGCTTCTTGACCACGTCATCTGCTATCATCGGCCAAGGAAGACTTCCCATAGTGACGATTTCGACACAGGTTATAGCAAACGCATACACATCGTTCTCCTTTGAGATTAGTGAGCGCTCCGCCATAAGTTCCGGCGATTGCCAACGAAGTCCATCTACATTAAACATTAGTGTTTAGTGTTTAAGAGCCTTAGTACGAACGGAGCATACGGGCATGCTTATCATTTTTGTATGAAATTTCTGACTCGCGTTTACTATGGCCAAAATCGGCCAATACGCATCGCAAATCGTTGTCGAGCAGGACATTTGCTCCCTGATAAATAACATGAAACACGGGTAAGGGAGAGGTAAACCACGACAGTGGAGAGAAACATACCTTGAGATCTCCGTGAACAACCTCTGCAGAATGCATATATTCCATAGCGATTGCAATTTCCTCCATAAATCTTAACAAGTCAGGAACAGAGCTATCCCCATACACCTCTGAAACCATGGACGTCCCCATATCCATGCCCCCGTCCCATTCCAACCGCTTCAAGTATTCCGACAAGGTCCCGTTCCTCATATACGGACTGATGAAGAACCAAGGACCGATACTTTCGGAGTGAGAGTCACTTGCACCATACAGTCGTAGGATATTAGGATGGTTGAGAGATTTCCAGACATTGAGCTCCGAAAGGAATGTATCTCGGGAAGTAGTCTGTTCGAGGACCTTGATGGCAATAATCCGGTGTCTCCAGGTTCCTTTATACACGTTAGAGAAAAAACCTCGACCTACGAGGTCCTGGAATACTACATCGGAC